CTGATCTTTCCCCCTCCCAAGTGTTACGTATACTCAAATGCTGTAATTTTGATTGTAGCTTTTTTACTGATATGGAGATAAAGATTGCAAATATGGTAATGCAACCTTAAAAGAGTATGCTTAGATAGCAGAGAGCTGAGGGAGAAAAGATTGCTTTAAAGCATTGTATGTTAATGCTTAAAGTCTAAATTGGTAACTGATACTGCGAGTAGGTAAAGCAAGTGAATCAGATTTGCAGACTGTGGAGATGTAGTCCTCCTTACGTCTTTTCTGTGGGAAAAATGTTTTCATTAAGCCACTGAGGCAACTGGATACTTATTCATAAGGAGCATTGGGAATTTTTGTTGATACTCTGATCCTTTTACCTAACAACAGGAGTGTGATATTTGTGGCTTACTTCCCCTTCCTGTATAGCCTGCCTATGGGAAGGAGTGGGAATGGGTGCCTGTTGGGGAAGAACAAGAATTGCTTTTCTAGCTGATACAGCGCTGGCCAGTATCTGAAATGTTATTTTCTTCTGTGCCTTGAGTAGTTTACAAAAAGAAAAGATATTACATAGAAACTTTTCTTCTATTTTGGAATATGGATTGATGCCCTTTTTCTCAAAGAAGTGAAGTAAGCTTTACTTGGCAATTTTATGTATGTAAGCTTTATCCATCATTCTGAAACTTGCTAGTTGTATTTGTTTTATTTGGACTTTCTAGCCTGGGATATTGTTTAGTTCCAGACAAAGTCAGTGGAACACTTGAATTGTTTTAAGAGCTCCAGATGAAAGTAAGTGTAAACCAGTGGCATTTATTCATCATCAGTTGGTGATACCTGTCCTATAGACTTGTTGCCCTTGAGTTGTGAACCTCTTGGATTTCAATTTTATTGTCTTTTGTGGTTTGAGTAGCATCAAATGTACAAGCAAGACTTACTCTAAAGCACATATATGCTGCATAATCTTTCAAAATGGCTATTTTTAATTTCTTGGGTTGGAGAGAAAAGGAGAAGCTTCAGCTATGGGAGACAAAACAGATGAAGTACTTATTGTAGTTCTGTGGTGCAGTGCGAGTACCTGAAGCATAGGCTCTTCAGAAGCACAGGCAGCGTGTCCCAGCTGTGTGCTGCCAGCGTGAGAGCTGGAGTCCACTGTCTGAGAAAAGGACTGCTTGCTTTTTCTCCCTAAGGAAAGCAGACGAGTGAAAGGTGAGCAGGAAGCAAGCACTGGAAAATCCCCTCTGCTTTCTGGCTCTCTGTCTGACAGGGGTTTGATGTATGCAGGGTCTGAGTTATCACTAACCTCTCTGGGAAGCTGGGAAATCTGACACAGATGGTGCTGCCCACTACCACTGGGGGAAACAGGAAGTAACAAAGGAAACAAGTCATTGCTTAGGCGTCCCTTTTGGCCACAGTGCAGCACGGATGCACAAGCGGTTGGGGCAGGGTTTCTTTTCCTTTTGTGTGTTGAGCCTGCAGCAGCTATTGCAGGCGCTTTCAACCATATACCCACGACGGAGAGAAGTGCAGAGATGTTCCTGCCATGCCTGAGAGGGGTTATAAGTTATTAATGGCGTTGTCATCACAAAGGAAACAATCATTTGGTGAAACTGTCAGCAGAAAAACTATGTGTCGATCACGCATGGTCACCAGGTTAGTGCATATTTGTGTCTTGTATGTCTGTCATCTTTTCTCTTTTAGGTAGAAAGCAGACTAAAACTAAGAGTACAATATGGTATCTGGGGTGAAATACTTTTAATTCCTGCAGAAACTTCACGAGTACAGAATTGAAGGGGGAAGAGATGAGATGAGAGTTGGCTGAAAACATTTGACAGAAAAGAAAAGCAAGCTGAAGCAAGTTAAACTGGGTAAACTTACAATAGTGTATCTGTGGGGCTTAGTTCTCTGTTCCCTTTGTCCTGTAAGATTTATTTGACTTCATGCTGTTTGTACTGTGCTATTAATCCTTCTGAGAGACTATTGTGAAAGGAGCTGTTAGTATTAAGAAATGGAATGTGTAACCAAAGAAGTAGAAGAGATACGGAAGAGTATTTCAGAAATACTGGAGAATGGTTAATAAATGTAGACACAAAAATTTTGTAGAAAGCTGTTTTAAGAACAGATGGTAAATGTTTAGATGGCTGAATTGGAGAACTATTTGTTCAGAATTGCTGAGAGCACATTAAAGAAGCTTTTATTTAACAGTTTTGCTGTATGTAATGCTGCCTCTTTTTTTTAAAGCCTTTTGTAGAGACTGAAACTTCAGTTTCTCTCTGCATTATATAAGGAATGCATTTATTTCTGTAAGTTTTATATGTGAGATATATTCAGAAGGAGACTATCATCTTGCTTTGCTAGGTTTTACTTTCAAAGTAGAACTTATAGAAGTCTTATAAGAGTTTAAAAAGTTCTCAGATATAATTGCCAGAGATTCTTAGTAGAAATTCAGATTTGGTTTAATTTTCATACTGCAGCTTTGGAGGCTGTGTTTTATTTGTTTTCAGCACAACTAAACTGGGCTCTAGGACGGACCATAAATATTATTATAATGAGTGAGAACTTCTAATGCAATTCTTGGCAGCTGTAGTTTCAGAGACGATGGTAATGTTTTTATGCCTACATGCTGAAGGATGTGGATGAACATCGCATCTGCCATATGTTCTACTCAAGTTAAGCAAGAACCGAGGACTCATGGCTCTTCCAGGATGTAATCCTTAGTAGAATCAGCTTGTAATTGCTTTAACTGGGCTAAATGCCAGTAGCTCTTAAGGCCAAAAGGGGTAAGCGTTCTTCTGTAATGTAATCCAGATTTCTAATGTGGCACAAATTTACTTTTACTGGTGGAGAGACTTTTAGCCTGTAAAGTTATGCCCTAGCCCCCAACCTATGTACTCTATATACACCAGCTGAGAGGACAGGTTAAAATTACTTCACAAAGGTATAGATTTACATACTACACAATAACATAAGTCTACTCCTATTTAGGGTTTGAGCTCAGTAACAATATTGTTATGATTCACAATAAACTTCTGCGTCAGACTGGCGTTATCTGCGTTGTGTGATGAAGTGTGTAATTACACATTTTTTTCATGCTGTTGTGACTTTCATGGTACTTCAAAATAAAAACCAGCTCATTGTGATGGTGTTTGAGAAAAGTATACTCTTGTGATAGACTTGGACTAGCTTTATTGATACATTAACAATAGGCCGCAAATTGTTTTGGTTTTAGTGTGGCAGACCAGTTTGTATACACAAAGTAATTACAATAGTAATTGTATAAGCTCTGTGTCATTCTCAGTAGTGCTAACTGCACTGTTCCATCTTGCCAAAAGGACTGCTGAGTGATGAAGCAAATCTTGTAAAGCGCTGTTCCACCATTTCTCCTACTGCACTCTCATCTCCCTGACAGATACAGAGCTATCGGGGGGTCATCTGAGAAACAAGGTTCTGCAAGGCCTTTCACGGCTGCCATCATCTTCTGGTTCAGAGGGTTCAGTTCGGTGTTGTCTCAGTGGGGGAGAAGGTTGATTCAGTAGCCACTTATAATGAATTCTGGGGCTTGATGGGAAACGTAGTTTAAAAATGTGTCTAGTCCCTTGGTGAGTGGAAAGAAGAATAAAGTGTGGAGATATTACTAGGAGCTTGCACAGAACAATGCGTGAATAATGTTACCCTCTATTTGTAGCAGAGGAACAGTGTCAGAAAGAGAGCATGGCTTGGCTCTCATTGCACTTAGCGGCCCTTTACTTTAAATTCATCGTCAGCTCCATGGAAAATAAGCTTATGCAGCTGGGGTGAAAATGTGTAACGGGTCTTTGGCTTGTAGTGCGGGAATGTAACTGCATGGAAACAACTTGGAAATATCTTTCTGTTCTTAGTTATGATGGCGCTAACAAGCTCTACAGTTACTTCAGTGCTTGCTGTTGTGTATACCTGGTAATGCAAGACCTGTTTTTCATGTAATGTGCAAAAAAATTATAAAAGGAATATTCAAGAGTGGAAAAAAACCATTTCAGTGAGCTAAAGGCATCCATATTGTAGAAGCTAGGATCAGAAAAATCTTTATCCATTTTTCCTTCTTCCCACCCCTACAATAAAGAAGCTGTGGTTAGGTTGTTTTGACAGCTTTCTCCCAGCAGCTTTGTGCTAAATAGCATCTAATGTCCTTCCAGAGTTGTTGTATACTGTAAAGAAAAGAAGAAAAAACTTGAGATTAGAATCAAGGTACTTAAATGGATTTTAAAAGCATAACTCAAAGGTTTCAATTCAGAATACCAAAGTCCTCACTGTGTTTGCAAATGAATATGTGATAGGGCGTGCTGTAAGCCCTAGTGAGATCCAGCAAATAGACATAGCAGCCTCTAAAGCTGCTGAACAAGCCCATTATATTAGGTGGGCCCTTTAGCTCATTTAATGTGTATTTGGTTCCATGGAGTTTGGCTACATTTCCTTTCATTCCCTTAGCTGGGATGGGGAAGTTCTGAGATGTGGTTTCTATTCTCAGAACTGTTTTATAGTGAGTAGTCAAAAGCAAGAAGTGTTCATGAATAGAGGAAGCAGAGCCTGATACTCTGCTGTCCTTTCCCCTTAGTTAATTCCTATAATCTTCACACTGTAGAACTGGATTACTTTTTCTCCAGGTTGCTCCTCTGCCTTCCACGATTTTTTTTTTTTCCCTCTGCCTGATATTCTGGCTTTTCAGCTGGAGGAGGAAATGTGCCATCCTGCTATGCTTTAGTGAGTAGTCTAACTAGTTTACTCCTGTACAGGCCAACATGACCTAGTCAAATATTCCAATTTTCTGTATTTACTTAGGGTGGGATACCCTTGTCCAAAGTGTTTGTCATTGGCTTCCTAGAAATCTCAGCTTACTGGTTGTTTTGGATAACCTCTCAGTGCCTCTTCAGATATGTTTTCAACTTAAGTACTTAACACTGAAATAGTTTCATACCAAAGGCTAGGCAGCTAAGTTTTTTCTTGCTCTGTTCTTTGTAGTAAAAGCACAGGATTTGAAGATCCATGGTAAACTTGAAACTGCTGGATGTTAGAATCATAGAATCATAGAATGGCCTAGGCTGGAAGGGACCTTAGAGATCATTTAATCCAACCTCCCTGTCATGGGCAGGGACGCCACCTCTCGACTAGACCAGGCAACACATGGGGACCGAGGGGGAATCAAACCCGCGACCTCGGTGTTGGTCCTTGTTGTCAGCACCACGCTGAAACCACTGAGCTAACCGGCCCCCAAAGTTAGTTCAAGAAAACTGACAGCAGAATATATTTGCCTGAATAAAAAGGTTTGTTTTTACTTAATCTTTTTCTGAATGTAACTAGAAACCCACTGGAATAATTTAATCATTAATTATTTAATCAGAAATTTCTAATATTTGAATCTTGATAGGCCTGTTCTTAAAAGAAAAATTAGTTCAGGACTTGCCTGTGCATTCCTTATTTCAAGGAATTACTCTTAGCACTAATGCAGTGGGGTTTGGTGCCTGCAAGCAGCTGGTTAATGCTCTCCATTTCTCTCACTTGACTTTGCTACAAGATGGCTTGAAGGATTTTTTTTTTTTCTGGGGTGTCTATGTGTGTGTGTTAACTGTTGTTACTATTTTATTTAATTCTTAAAAGCTTAAAATATCTTTGTGTAGCCCCTTGGACCTATTAACACATTGCTGTTGCTAGAAATTTCATTGTAGGGGAGAAGGAGGAAAGAACAACTCAACCATAGAATCATAGAATGGCCTAGGCTGGAAGGGACCTTAGAGATCATCTAATCCAACACCCCTGCCATGGGCAGGGACGCCTCTCAACTAGACCAGGTAGCTCAAAGCCTTATCCAGCCTGGCCTTGAACACCTCCGGCGTTCTATTCCAGAGTCTCACCACATGATAAGAATAGGGAGGAGTTAGCAGAAGGAAGGATGTAGCTGAATAAAACAAATGTAACTTGCCTTTTGGTGAGTAGGAAGGTCCTGGAGGAAAACCAGGAAACCATAGTGCCTTGCAGTGTCTGCTATGAGAACCTTTCTAGGGCCTTGGGCTTTATCTTCTTTGCATGTGCATGTTTTATAACACTGAGGACTAAAACCTAGTTTTTGTGATTTTCTAGGATGCCTAGAGGATTTAATTGAGTATAAAGTCTCCTGGTAGAAATTGCTAGTAATTTCCACCCCTCCCTACACACGTATCATTACCAAAGAGCAAGCAGTTAGATAAGCTGATCCATTAAAGGATCAATTGTCTTGCATTGCTGTTTTTCTTAACAGGTACAATGGATATACTCTATTGTTGCCGTTAATCCTTCAACAAAACTGTATCACTTGCTTATTCATTTCTTTGAGAGACTAGTGCCTGGGGTAGGTGTCTTGTGTTGTAGGCTCTTGGATTTCCTGTGTGGAGCTACACTGCTGATTTCCATTCCTGTCCCTTTTGGGGAAAGCAGAAGCAAACAGAATCCATCAGATTTCAGTTCTCCACTAAAAGCTTTTCAGTTCAGTACAGACCCTTTTATGTCTAGGTCAAACTTCCCATTCAGTTTATGCATGATTTCTTTTCTGCATTTTACACAGGATTTTTAGAATAGTTGCCAGCTGAAGAAAGGCCTCATAGTGATAAATCAGACAAAAACCTACTACTCGAAGAAAGTAATTTTTTGGTTAATTTGTTTGAGATGACAGCAGAAAGAGTGGTAACTGTAAAGGTACTTAGTGGTGCATGACATTAGTAATTGATATATAAATTAAATGGAAGCCTGGAGCAATCCAAGATGAACTTTATTTGCACATGATGCTGTCACATATGACATTCAGTATAATATTCTGAATTAAAGCACTAGTATATAATAAAACATGCGAATACAAGAAGTAAGTAGTATTGGATACTGAGGTTACTAAAATATGACTGTTGATTCCCTCATTTTATAAGAATTACATTGTGTATATATATGTGGCATAGAACTTTGGAGAAGAACCTGATTTTCTTTCTAGTCACCTGTCTGATTAAGTCTCATGGTGTTATCTGGGACATTTTAAAAATACAAATACTTAAATAACATTTGCTAAGCACTCTTCCGTTGTTTCAACAACTGTCAATCACTTTTGAGAGCTGTATAAAAATAAACCGGGACTTTTTACACCGTGGTTTTTTTATACATTACAAACTTCCTGGAATCTGTGAACACTCGTCTGTGCTACATATTTGACTGCTTAACCATGTGAGTTGTTTGGACAGCTCGTTTAAGGAAACAAGCTTTGTTTTTCAGTACTCTCTTTTTGAAGTAAAATCTAGGTTTCCAACTGTTTTTAATTATTCTAAATTGCAGAACCATGGCCTTGCAGGAGGAGCAGGACTGGCCAGTCCCAATGAAGGCAATTGGAGCACAAAACCTTTTGACAATGCCTGGAGGAGTGACCAAATCAGGGTATCTTCATAAAAAAGGAGGCACCCAGCTGCAGATCTTGAAGTGTAAGTTGAATGAGGTGTTAATTAAATTGTTTTAAATGCTTGCCTTTGGGTCCATTAACACATGCTGCATTAGCAGACTACTTAATGAAGGTGTTCTGCTTACTTTCTCTGTATTCAATTACAGTTTTACTGGAATATATGTATGAAAGACCCATATTGAAAGAATTTCCTTTAATTGTTTTTGGAAATGTAAATCTTAGGAGAGAAATGTTCTGGTTGATTTTCTTTTACTTGGTTAAATCAAGTCCTTCTCAAGCAAGATTTTAAAGAAACAGATTCCTGAGATATGTATCCATTTCAAATATTTTATAAAAGAAATCAGTACTTAGCCTTTTTTTTTCAGTTGATTATTATGTACTAGGAAAATAACCCCATCTCCTACTGCTGTTGTGAAATGGAAATTTTCTCATTGCTAACATGAGGCTGTACTTAAAAACCATAATTGCTTCTGGGAACAGAATCTATTTACAGGATGAAGCCTAAGATTTTGGGTTTACTTGTATGCCACTCATTTGCTATCCCTGTTTATAACTAAACTATACATATATAGTTAAGGACAAAGAAAGGAGTGTTGGCCCCTTTAGAAAAAGACTACCATTTTATTGGCAGCTTTATGTACTTGGGGTGAAATAAGAGAGGAAGATACCATCATAGCTTTGGGATGGGCATAAATATATATTTGTAGCCTGTGGCTACTTTCCTCCCATTTTGTTTTAGGTTGCATTCTTATATTAGCTTATTCCTGTAGTAAAGAGCAGAGGTGGAGGTCAGAGCTGCAGTCTCTGAGGTTTCTTTAGAAGTTACCAGATCAGGTACCTCTGAGATGAGGGAAGAAAATACTATCCTTAGTCCTGAAACTCTGAATGGTGTTGTACCATGGGACAGATTGTCAACAAGCTGTCCTTTAAGTTTATGTTGTGCTCTTTTATAATGATTAATGAAACTGCTAAAATACTAAATCATAATTCTACCCAAGTTAAGAGATTCTAGTTAATGTACTGTCTTTGGATTTGTATTTTGCTTACTTCTTTTCTTTATCTTTTCAGGGCCGTTGAGATTTGTGATTATCCATGAGGGATGTATTTACTATTTTAAGAGCAGCACATCTGCATCTCCACAGGGTGCATTTTCTTTGAATGGCTATAACAGGTGAGTACCAAAGACCTTATTTAATACCCAAGCTCCTTTTTCTTAGTGGAGGGGACCATGGTTTTAATTGCCGATGAATTTAAGTGCAAGTACATCTATTGTTTGGGTTAAGCACTGATCTCAGATTCCAAGAGATGCATTCCTTTCAAATTATATTTGTGATGTTTCCTGTGCTTTGCAAGTGTATTCATGTTTTATTTAACTTGTCAGTCTGTTAAAATTGCAATGGGCTTACTTGTTACTGACTTAATGCAGGTTTGCACATGCAGATGGATGTGGATTCTTTCAGACAAACAATCTTTGTTCCCTAGTGATTTCAATGATCATCACAAAAATAGAAAGGAATCAGAAAGGAATGTTTATGGAGTTACTGATTCAGTAACCCTAGCGTCAAAACTATCAACTACAGGAGTGATAAATAAGAGAGTGCACGTGCAAAACATCAGACTCGTTCTGCTATGCATTAATGTTTGCTTTTTAAGTTGAAGACAAAAATACATGGCTTTCAAGTTAACCAGTACTATCAGAATCTGAGTGCAGCATATGTACAAGGCCTGCCAGTAGAAGTCTAACCTAACTTCAGGAAATTGCTGTTGTAATTGATGCTAAGAAAAGACGAATGACAGAGAGAATTTAGAGAAATATCACTATTTTGGTGGTCCTAACCACTGCAATTTTCTTGTATTTGTAAACTTGTATGTTGTTCTTCTACTACTCAGACTCTTGGAATAGGGAAATAACTTTCATTAGACTGTGAGAGCTTTCTAATTAACTAAGACAATGGCCTGTTTTATGGGAATGCAGTTGTAAACATTGTAACTAATTAAAAATACAAGACTAATGTGTGTAAGAAACATATACTCTAACTTGATCATGACACTAGATTCTGTAATTGCATTACTGTGAAAAATAACATGGAATTTGTAAATGCTAGAGCTTCTGTCATTGCTTTTCATATAACTGCATTCTAGTAGTCTTAGAGACCTTGGTTGGAACTGGAACCAAGTCTTGATTCATATTATGCACCGACATAAGCATTATTGAAAAAGAATTTGAAATGAAAGAATTTGTTAGACTGGATTGTTGCATAAGATTGTGTGAATGCAAGTCATTCTAAGGCTTCCATGGACTTTTGTTTTGTGTTGTTCATTCAATAGCTTTTATGTGTTAAGGCTGCACAGCTGATGAGAAAATGCTGAGTTTACTGGTGACTTAAAATGTGTAGTGATGTGTATTGCTAATATCCCTCCCAGCTGTACCATGGGTATTTCCCACATTAACGTCCTTATTAGCCTTACATTAGTGAACAGTTCCTTTTGTAGCTTTATTTTGGACTGAGCAGATGCAGAAAACTACAACTTGCAGCTTAAAACTAGGATTGGGGTTCTAAAAGTGATGTAATCTCCAGTTCTGAAATAATTTTTTCAGTTGACACTGTTCTTCATGGCAATTTCAGAGTGTTGATTAGATAAATATTTTTTTCAAAGCAGTGTTATTTTGCTAAAGCACCTAACCAATAGTCAAATATCTCTGAGAATCGCTTTCTTCTACATTTACAAACTGCCTTTGTTAAATATTAGACACTTATGGAAGTACTGTGTTGTATGAAGAAATTAGTGAGATAAAGTTTAGGAACAAGAAAGCAAGCCCCAATAATTGATTGTAAAAGAACTTTACTCAGATTTCTGTATGGCTTATGCTGATAGATCTTAAAAATTTTACTTCTGGGTTACCCACAGTCTTGGAATTTTAGTCTCCTTATTCATTCTAAAGTCTTACAGTTAGCATTTACAACTAAATTTTTGTGTGTATAAGGAATTTCCTCATTTGAGAGTCCTCTGGGGGAAAAATAAAACCAAATAAACATACCTAATGCAGTTTGTGAAAGAGGTTGAGTTGTGCTTATTATAAAAATAATTTTAAAAGTGCAACAAAGTGTTTATAAGGCAACGCTGGGCCAATTAAGTTAACTTTTAATATTAGTTCTTTATTTTCATGAAAAACCTGTGATTTAATTTCTCATCTGTGCCTTTTTGAAATAAAGATCACAGGCATCCTAAATACTTCTTGCCATGCTATGAAGCATGGGAATTAATGCAACTCATTGAAACTGTCAAACAGGTCAAAACATCAATTTATATATCTGGCTGGTGGTTTAACCTAGTGCTCTTTCTCCGGTCAGCACCCTTGCATTGTCTTTTCTACCTCTTTAATGGAGAAGTACTACAAACAAGTATTTTTGTGGTGTTTTCATGGGTTTGGGCGTTATTTTTGCAAGGCAAAACTGGCTGATAAAGCTTCCTTCTGTCAGACCTTTGTGACTTGCACAGCAAAATCAACTTTATGGACTAAAGTTTCTATGTATTGGTTCTCTTTCTCAGGGTTATGCGGGCAGCTGAGGAGACAACATCAAGCAATGTGTTTCCTTTCAAGTTAGTTCACATTAGCAAGAAGCACAGGACATGGTTTTTTTCAGCTTCTTCTGAAGAAGAAAGAAAGGTAACTTCTTCTGCAATATGGTTTTTCTTGAAGCAGAATGTGAATCTTGGACTTCCCTAAAATCTAATGAACTGGACATGCAGCTGTCACTGAAATTTGTATACCTAGTTCTCTGAAAATCACATCTGTTAAGTTAGTGTTAGTTCAAGCTGCAATTTAGGGAATGACTATGAGTGACATACTAGGTGGTACGGTTTTCTTCATATTTCTGGCTTTAGTTTTAGCAGAGGAACAAATATTTTTGTGTTAAACCTTTGATAAAGTGTGAAAAATGTTCATTGAAATCTCTTGTTCAAAAATATACTATAAACAAGTACTTGGCTTTAGAAATAACAGCTTGAAATTTGTAAACTGAAAGATTAATATTTTAAAATGTTCATTTTAGACAGTCAAAACATTTGACTGATAAGTCCTCTCAGTATAAAATCATGGATAAGCACTATTTCAGTGTAGGTTCCCTGCACAATTACTGTTACACCATGCATCTTTGTTTAAAGATGGATGTGTTGAATGTTGAACTTTCATTCTTATTTAGAATTGGATGCTATCTTTGAGGAGCGAAATTGATCACTACCATGAGAAGAAAGAAACAATAATGGAATTCAGGTATAGATCTTAATCTTTACTTGCTTTTTATCCCTTTTGCACTAGCTTTTGATAGTGGTGTTTTAGGTTCTTTGCATCTACAAGTAATTTACTGCTAAATAAAAACTGGTGCAGTAAGGCCCAAGAATGAAAGGCTTTAAAGAATACCAAGACAAAAATATCTTTTTACTAAGAGAGCTTTAAATGTCAGCTTCATATAAACGAAATAAAAACTTTAAAAAGACAGCAGCGACATATCTGGTTGTCAATTGGAAAATAGGAATAGACTGCTTCTGCCTTTTCCAGCATTCTTTTTCAGTGTTGCAGTCCTGCTAACAGATACATTTACTGTCCCAAAACTCATAGCACAGTGATGCAGAAGCTGCTTTTTTTTTCTTTTGCAGTGACTCTGGTTCTGATGCAGACAGTTTCTATGGCTCAGTAGAACGTCCCATTGCTATTAAGTATTCTCATCATTCAGCTGAAAATGAAGGTGACAAATTTAGACACAGATAAATAAGATTTATTTTATTTGCTTACTTATTTCTTCTGGATTCTGCAGGAATTATTCCCATATAGCTTAAGCAAACTGATCCAATTTGCCACTATAAATTCTTTTTTTACAAGGTGTATAGTTGTAACTTTAAATCAGAAGCAGATGTTCTGTTCCATAAACCATTCGTAAAAATAAAAGGTAACCAAAGAAATTCAGGTCTTTCAAGGAGGTGTCTGACACCCTAATAATATTTAAATTCTGCTAGACATAGGCTGGGCCTATGTGAAATGCACAGCATAGCATTCTTCAGTGACTTTCAAGCTGAATAACTTGGTAAAGTAGGGCTCTCAAAATCTCATTCTTAACATAACCTTTTACATTGGAAGTTTAATACCTGTTCATTACTGGAGTTGTCTCACAGTAAAGAGTTGGAGCTGAGTGCATTTGGTTTTTAGAGGCTTATAGACAGTCTGTCAGGGAGGCATTCACAGCATATTTCAGCAACTGACTTCCTAGTCAAGAAATGTGTTGGATTTTACTAACATGAGAAGCCTCGCCTCAAGGTTCAGCATTGTTCCTTTGCTAGACCTCTTCCCATCTGCCCTTTCAGATTTCGAAGGTCAGGGCTGATTGGAGCAAGTACTCTCACTTCCTGAAAGGAAATTCCAGACTATTTTTTCTGACTAGGACAAAAAGGCAGGAGTGAGGTTTTTTAGGAAATCTGGTTCCATTGCTGTAAAGCAGAGAAACACAGACTCATCAGCATTTCATGTAAAACTGTAGTTTAGTGCTTCTGTGTTTATGGTGGGGAAGGGTTGTGTGCAATACAAATTAGGTTGAGAGGTCTAGCAGGAGTTGGTTAGAAAAATGAGGAGGACTAACTGATTTTCATCAGATATTCTTACCTATTTTAGGTTTGGGGTTTTTTTATTTATTTTATTTTTAGTACATTCTGGGGAAATACTGCATATTGTCCTTGAGGCCCCTATCATAGTCAGTGATGGGAAATCACTGACTAGAAGTAGCATGTTTTCCACGTCTTGATTATTCTGACTTCAGTTAAAGGCAACAGTGAAGCTATTTAAGCCATTTGTTGTGGTGCAGTTTTTTATTGCCAGAGCAGGCTTGCTTAGGCTTCTGTATTGCAGACTCATAAATGTTTCTGTGTTAGGGATTATTTTTTTTTCAACTCACTTTGCCCAGACTTCCACATAGTTGTGTCTCTGCAACTGATTAGAATTTCTTGAAAGAAGGCTATAACACTAGAAAGTGTGACTGGAAAGGAAAGGTTAACTTGAAAGATGGCAAAAATTTAGTGTGCAGTGTAGTGTTGTGATGACTTGCTTAATTGACATCATAATTTAAGGAAATGCCTATTTTAAATAGCAGAGAGACAGACCAAAATTTTGATATTTTCTTCATCTCTTAAACAAATTTTTTTTCTAGCTGTTTTTTTTAATTATTAAGCAACAAGTACTCAATACTGTCTTGGTTCCAGGAGTTCTTATTAGAGTCTGACACATTGATTTTTCTCTGCAGATTACGATCAAGAGGAAGAGGATGAGTCTTACTTGCAGCCAGATACTTCTGACATAGCGAGAGATGGTATGTGATTCCTTTCTTGCCATTTACAAAAGGTCCCCACTGAAGGCAGTACTCATGCAGAATGCCAGACGATTATTTTGGCTTGGCAAAAATTCATTTTAACAGCAGTAACAATTTACAGGACGTGTTACATGCCTTTAAGGGCAGATTTTCTTGCAGGCCTCCTGCCCTGGAAGGACCTATATCTGGTCATCAGTATGGAGAAGGGGTAATGCTTTTAATGTAGTCTTTATTTTTAGTAAAGGGAATACTCTTTGCTAAATCATCATAAGCCACACCTGAATAAAAATTGCAGGAGTCTGCTACACATAACATTCAGAACTGTGCTGAAAGGTAAATGCTTGTCCAACATTTTGGGTTTTTTCAGACCAGATGGCAATGAAATACCTTAAATCCCATAGAAAAGTAATTTGAACAGTCTCATTTCTTAACACGCTGCATTTCACCTCAGTGTGTCATGTTTTCTGGATGTTTTCTTTCTGTAGATATGGTCCTGCCCCCAGCCTACCCACCTCCACCAGTTCCTCATGTCAGAAAAACTGCCTACTCAGAATCAAGGGCAAACTCCTTTGCAGGCAAACCTGCTGTGCCAATACCACCACCGCCTCCAAAAAGAAGCTTACCTGATATCAAACTAGAGGATCACTTAAACATGAGAGAGCCCCAGTTACAGCTGCGAGCCGAACCTAATCTAAAGATTCAATCCTCAAGCCGGAGACTAAGTGAACAGCCGCCCCCTGTGCCCCCTCTACCTCTTTTCAAAAAGCCTGTGGGTGTCAAAGAATCCTCCTTACTGCCTCCAGAGCCTCTGCCTCTAGCTCAAGTTCTCACTACTCCAGAAGGATGTGAGAAGCTAAAAACTTTAAACCTTTCACCGCGAACTCCTCCTCCACTACCAAGCAATAAACCCAAGCTGTTGCAGCTTACGGAAAAAACAGTAGAGCCCAAAGTGCCAAGAGAACATGGTAAACCTGGACTTTTTGTGCCACCAGTGCTCCCAAAGCCACCTGTGCCAAGCCACCAGGCCCCTGCAATCAAGCCTAGACCAGAGAAGTCCTCATGTCCCCAGTTACAGTAAGTATGAAAATACAAGGTGCTAGTAAAGTTTTCCATTGTGTGTTAGTTAACTAGTTGACAGACATATTTCTCAGATTCACATCAAGGTGGTTCTCTTTCCTGCATCATCCTAATTTTCCTCTATACTTATTTACATTTGCCTCTATAACTTATTTGAATTTTTTTCAATGAATTTAACTTCTGAAATAGCTCAGAAAGAAATAGTACATAAATCAAACTTTAAAAAAGATTACGCCAAAATTTTGTAATTATTTTGTTTTCAAATGTGTCTTGGAGATTTAATAGCCTTTGATCACTGTGCATCGAAAGCCTTTATGTCAGAACTTCAATGAACTGCAAAAACACTGTAGGCTTCTTCAGAGAGAGGAAATGTGTTTCATTCTATATTAAGCACAGCTTTAGTAAGGGACATAGAACTAGTTATAGCAGTGAGTCAGATGAAGATATTTTGGTCCATTGGTTTTTTTAGCAGCTTGAAGAACAAGTAATAAACACATTAAATACAGTACAAGGAAGACGCTGATATACTGGAGTGAATTTAGTGGAAGGCTACCAAGATGTTTGGGCTGTGGCACATGGTATGTGAGAAGAGGCTGAGGGAGTTGGATTCAGTCCATGTTTAGGAAGGCTAACCAGGAGATCACTGCTGTCTGCAACTACTTAATGGATGAGTATGAAAACAGAGCAAGACCTCAGAGATATGCAGTGATAGGATAAGAAGCGACAGGCAGAAGTCATAACCTGGGAAATTACAGCAAGGTTATCAGGGAAAAACTTTTCACCATGTGGATGGTGAAACACCAGAACACGTTGCTGAAGAGAGACTGTTATCTCTGTCCCTGGAGATATTCAAAACTTTACTGGACACAGCTTCCAGAGCTACCTGATCTAGCTGGACCTGCTTTGTGCAGCAACTTGGACTAAGTGATCTGTAGAGGTCCCTTCCAACCTAAATTAATCTGTGATTTGATGGCTAAACTGAAACTTGCTCTTCAGCTCTAGTTTTATTATCCCTTCAGTATTTTGTATATATTTGTTCTGTTTTCCTGAGGAGATGTCCTTCAGTTTTTATTCTGTCTCTGCCAGGAGATCACCACCAGATGGACAGAGTTTTAGAAGCTTCACGTTTGAAAAACCAGCACTACCCTCCAAGCCAAATCAAACTGATGATGATTCCGATGATGATTACGAAAAAGTAAGATGAAGCACATGATCCATTCTCACAGTATTTTTTTCTTGCTTATGTATACTATTGGGAATATCTTAAATGCATTATTTCCAGGAAAAAAAAGTAACTTTCTGAAAACACAGTGCCATGTGTTATTTATTTGTTTGTTTGTTTGTTTATTCTGAGCTTTAAGGAAAGGCTTGTTAAATTCTGGATTTTAATATTGGATGTAAGGGAGGAAGAAGCATAAAGTAAAGATTAAATCACGATTAATAATTTCAGATACGGATGGTTGTAGCTTATTTGTTACAAGTTGCTAGCATTTTGAGTTGTCATCCACTTATGTGACAGTTTAATTTCTTCATCTTTTTTTACAGGTTGGGCTGCCTGCTTCAGTATATCTTAATACCTCTGAATCCTTCGAAGTTGAAAGGTAGAGTGTGACTGTAAAATAGTTCCTTAGAGTCCTACTAAAGCCTGCACCAAACAGTATTCCAAAAATCATTTTGATAGATATAATTTATGTTTAAAAACACAATAAAAGTATTTAAATTCCTTTAATATGGAAATAACTCTTTAAGGGATTTAGTTCAGTGCTCATGCATTGATTGAAAATGCACACTACTTGCAGAGTGATTTTGCTGCATCTGGAGAAGGTTGTTCTGCCAGGATGCTAGAAGGGACCGAAAGCCACATCTGTGCTGCATTGCTGGGTCAGATGCTAGAACAGTAAAATTTCAGCTATGATGTACTTGGATTTCTTTTACAACCTAAATAGAGATTTGTAGTAAGAATTTTAAGAATCTAGGCATTTTACTTCTCTGAGTCATAAAATGCTAATATATGCAACTGCTGTATTATTTTTAGGACATTTAAAGCTAGTAGCCCACGGGGACAACCACAAAATGGATTGTACTGTATTAGGAACTCATCTACAAAGCCTGGAAAGGTAACTTGCAATTGCTGAATTTATTTCCCCAAAGCCTTTTTGCTTTTTAGATATTTCATATATGATAAAGTACTCTTAACAATTTAGATGTGTTCAACATGAGCCATCAGTGCGCACTTGCAGCCCAGAAAGCCAATCGTATCCTGGGCTGCCTCAAGAGGTGCGTGGCCAGCAAGTTGAGGGAGGTGATTCTCCCTCTCTACTCCACTCTCGTGAGACCTCACCTGTTGTACTGCATCCAGTTCTCAAGCCCCTACTACAACAAAGATCTGGACGTGCTGGAGCGTGTCCAGAGAAGGGCCACGAGGATGATCAGAGGGCTGGAGCACCTCTCCTGTGCAGACAGACTGAGAGAGTTGGGGCTGTTCAGTCTGCAGAAAAGAAGGCTCCGAGGAGACCTTATTGTGGCTTCCAGTATCTCAAGGGGGCTACAAGAAAGCTGGTGAGGGGCTTTTTAGGATGTCTGGTAGTGATAGGACTAGAAAGAGTGGATTCAAGCCAGAGATGGATCGGTTCAGACTGGATGTTAGGAAGAAGCTCTTCCCCATGAGGGTGGTGAGACCCTGGCACAGGTTGCCCAGAGAGAGGGTGGAAGCCCCATCCCTGGAATTGGTTAAGGCCAGGCTGGATGGGGCTCTGGGCAACCTGATCTAGTGGGGGATGTCCCTGCCCATGGCAGGGGAGTTGGAACTAGATGATCTTTAAGGTCTCTTCCAACTCTGACGTTTCTATGATTCTACAGCAGGAAAATCTGAGACAATCATCATAACTTCAATGATAATTTTATTTTATTTTTTTTATGCTGGATTGTAACTAAATCCTTAACAATACATTGACTTACAACAGCTTATTAGCATAGATTGAATATGTTGCATTTTTCTGTTTCAAGGTATTGGTTGTATGGGATGAATCTGCAGAAAAAGTGAGAAACTACAGAATCTTTGAAAAGGTTAGTAGCTGCATCATGTGTGCATGTGTATATATATGTATGCACACATATGAATTTCATGTGTACAGATGTGTGTAAAGTGTGCATATGTATAAATGTATACTGGAACTAACAAGTTAAAGTCCAAACTTCTGCAAGTAAAAATGAGCTGACTTAAAAACATTTGCTTTAGGATGAGAGTTTGAGTACTTATATCTGGACTTTCAAGTAGCTGTATCATGCAAAGGTCAAAACTAGCTGTAAATGTTCACATCTAAATTTCAGCTCCAGTCAAATTGAAAAGGAAAGAATATTAAATTCCTGAGTATAATTTGGACTTCTTTGTGTAAGTTCTTTCTTATTTGAAAGTTTTGATGATGACATTTTGGATTTATTTTTTTTTAAACACTGAGTTGGAAAAACTACTGTCAATGACTACATATGTTTTTGTCCTACAACAGGATTGCAAGTTTTACCTGGATTCAGACATCATGTTTTTGAATATGGGAAGTTTGGTTGAATACTATAGCACTCATGTCTTACCTAGTCATGACAGTCTGATTCTTCGGTGTCCTTACGGATATTCTAAACCAAGGTGACATGACTGCATGGTTCACTGATGCTTAGGACAAGTGTGTTCCCTCCGGCCCTTGAATTCAACGTGGACATCTGATTGTTTGCACACAGAAACTGTTTGAACTGTTTATTCTCGCATGAATTTAATGAACTCTTTGTAAAACCTTACAATCCAGATCAGTGGATTTTGTGGTCTTTTCTTTTTAAAAGGTCTGAACTGATTATGCTGTGAAAGCTGTTTGTGATACCTGCACCTTTTATGAAACTGCTGCTATTACTAATCTCCTGGAATGTGGAAGATTGACACAGACAAAGAAGTGGTCTTGAATACAACCATTAAAGAAAAGGGAAACTTCTGAAAGTATATGAGAATTCACTTGTGACAGGGAATACTAATACTCTGGCTTGAAGGTACTACTCCTTAAGTCAGCACTGGTGCTTAACTAAGAGGTTTTGTATTAATTGTATATTTGATGTGTAAATAATGAAGACTTCATAGAATCATAGTGTGGCCTAGGCTGGAGAGATCATTTAATCCAACCTCCCTGACTTCCGTGCAAATAACTTCCTTTGCTATGGTAAAGATGATCAGGAAATGCGGCTTTTTTTAAAAAGCCACCTCATACATAAATGTAACTTGTGAATGCAATGTCTGCAGTAATCTGTATCAGGACACTATCTGACTGGTATGGTTATGGCATCGGACATTAACAACATACACTTCTGATGGGTGTGGAATAATACTGGTTTGGCTTCCATGGGAGTCGCATTCCTCAGTTCTGGATTCTTTCAAATATCTCAAATTCTGACTGTCAGGTTTCTTTCATGTTGCCATCATCAAAGGTTCTTTAAAGCAAAGCAAAAACAAAAATGAAACCATGAGTGTGATGCTACTCTCTCTCACGCTGCCCTAGTCTACTTTTTGTACATCACCAATAATTTTTCCTTAGTAAAATTGCTACTCAGTTTGCAGTTGCATGCAAAATAAAATCTGTTTTTAATATACTATCAGCGCTATCAGACTATCAGTGATAGGTATTAACAGGGTGCTTGTAACATTTGTTCCCTAATATTTTGGGGACAGGTATTCTACAGATAAGAGCTTGGTACTTATTCCAAAATCACCCTACTTCTATATTTTAATAAAGAGGAGAAATTTATTTTAATGACTTATTAAGTAACTTTGATTCAAAAGTACTGTTATAACAATCTCATACTCTAATAATTTTTACAAGACTTATAACAATAATAACAATTATAATCTTGTTACTCCTGAAACAGGAGAAGTTATCTAGTTTATATCAGTCTGAATATTTATCCATAAACTCCATTTTTGTTACCTTTTCAAAGTTTATACATGTCAGTTTTAATCTCGTTACAGTTAGATGGTTACAACATTAAAACCATAAACAAAACCATTACAGAAGAAGAATTTTCAGATTATGAAAACAAAACATCAGGATTTAATCCCTAAGGGATTTTCCTTAATTAAGAGATATAATATTAGGACCATGTGTAGGAATTGAGGCAAGAAACTCTGGCTCTATCTTTTCCAAGAGACACAAACATACACAGTATCAGTCTTTTGATCTCTGTTCCTGCAGCAATAAGTTTTATGTGCATAAAGAATATGCAGATTCTGTGGAATATTGGGTATTTTAAGTTTCTAATTCCTTTTATTTTAAATGAGTATCCCTGTGGTCGACTGCCTTGGTATGATCCACTCTGTAGAGAGGGCTCTGCCAACAAAGCACTTAAAAATATTTTTGGCGTATAGGTATATCAGAGCAAGTTCTAGTTTCTTGCAATATTTACATATACCATTTGCAGAGTAAATTTTTCTTTGGGAATAATTGACTTCATTGTGTCATGACCATCATATTTACAGTATGCTATCTTTGCAGCCCTATCCAGATATTTAATTTTTATTTTTTATTTTTTGCAACCATCTACTCTTGAGATTTGTAAACTAAAAATACTTATGTAATCCAGTGCATAAAAAACATAACACTGTCTTTGCCTGTGTAATACAAGATTTGCAAATATGTAAATTTTTGTTTTAATTTCCTTTTTTATATAAATGTATATATTTCTGAAGTGAATTTGCTTTTGTGCAGTCATCTTTAACTTCATGGATTTCTGTGTTCTAGTGATTTTCTTTGTATTTGTGTTAAATAGTGCTTGACTCTTCTAACCGCGGTATTAGAAGAATTAGTTTTCAGCCCTCTTAAGAAGCAAATCTTCATGTAAACAACACTATCAGAAATCTTGTCATTCTGGTCATCAGACAGTGTGGCTGGCGGTGGAAATTACCTATTTTTTTATTTACTTCAAAGTTTCAGAGTGCAGGGTTGAGGTCTGAAGCAACTGTGACCATACTACAAAGAGTATCTCAGAGGAAAAGAAGTTTTTGAGCAAGAAAGCCTCTACAAAGGTGTTTTTCAGGAGCTTGTTTGGGGAAAGAGGTCCTTCCCATCTCCTGCACCTAATGGTCCGTCTGCTTAGTGTAACCTGGTAGGTTAGTACAAATAGAGTAAATATACAGCCTTGAAGGTTTACATCTCCAGAATTCAAGGTAGGAGGTACAGATGATGATGTGCTAGGTAATCCCCTCATCCCTCTAGAAACAGGTCGAAGGGTTTCAAAGAAATCTGCATTGTATTATTTTTTCCAAGTCATCTTGCTCCTAAATACTAGTCCAGTCTGTTTTATGTGGAATTAGATTAAGTTAAATTTCTCCTGTTTGTAGGGAGGAAAGAGCACAGCTGGAACACGTGGCTCTCAGTCTGTCTCCTGTGCCTCTTACCAACGCGCGTCTCCTCTTCCCTTTGCCACCAGTCAGCATAGTCAACCTGCTGCAAGCTCCTTAGCTTTAAAATAATTTATGGAGAAAGGTAAAGGCAGTATTTGGTATGCCAAAGAAAATGAAGTTTGTGTGTTTGTTAATATATAAGTAAAAACAATAGTTTTGGAGAAAGCTTTGCCTTTTCTATATCTAAACTTCCATGAAAAAGTGTTATGGGTGATATTTGGTGAGGGGATTGCCCTTCTAGGGAAAAAATTAGCTTTTGACAGCAAAATTTCAGCAAGGGGCTGTTATCATAAGGCAGCATTATCATAAAAAGTGAACCAATGTCTAGACAACTTTTCTATGACAATGAAGGAACGTTGTGTCAAGTACTCCCTAGCTCAGAACTTCAATTTTTACAAGAGCGTTAAGTGGTGACAGTATCTGTGGCCTCTGGTGCTTCATGCTTTGGCAAGTTCTGATTTCTGAAGATTTAATGTGATTATTTTGAATCTGAGGACATCTGCTGGTCAGCTTGTTCCATGCAGGGTTCCAGGCAACAAGAATACAGCCGCTAAGCATGTGCGTAGGAGTCACTTGCGTAGAAATTAGTCCTAAGTGATTTTGGATAGAAGCTAGAGATTAAAGCTTAACTTCAGTGGAAACTTGATGAGCCAGGTCGTTGAAGCTTAAGATGTTTACTCATATAAGTAGTTTATTAGAATTACTCATCTGAATGTCTTTTAACCTTGATGAGAGCAAAATGAATTTAATTTTATATTTCTGTCTTTAAATTACTCTTGAAATATACTTTGAGGTAGAATTTACATAATGTACATCGGAGTACTACCTAAATTATCTACAACATGAAGCATTAAGAGTTGTTCTAATACTAAATATTTCACCCAGCAGCAAGAAAATCATATGATGTCACAGTAGTTTCTATCTTGTTAAATAGTCAACTCTGAAGTCGAGATTTGTTTTCTACCAACAGGAGCATTTTGAGATGACCATGATTACAGCTACTTAAATAGTACTGCTCGTAATTTTTTTACTATGAACACTCAAAATACCAAATGCTTCTAGTGGACATAGCATGTGAGCTCACTTTTTAAAACTGGGTGATTAAATTCAGTGGGCTTTTAGAGTGCATAGTAAGTCTTGTAGCACAGTCAACCCCAAAAATCTATTCCTTCAGGACTTCGATTCCTGCATCTTAATTACAGGATGGCCATTACTAACCCTGATGTGTATCTCCTTCCCTACAGCATCTAGTTACCAGGAAAGTGGGTAATCCCAACATCTCGGGTTCACGACATGGTCCTAACGGTGGCATAATCTAGGACATACCAAAGAACCATTTTTAACATAATGTCACTCGCACATACTTCTACTGTAGTTGGTTTGCACAGAAATTGCAGTAATAATAACATTTCAGGATTAGATGTCTGGATATATAAAACCAGAGAAAAGCATCTATTCTTTGAGTTGCCACTTTTTCTGCCTTTTAACAACTGCTTCATGCCAGCTCCCCTTGGGTGGAGTCTTGGCACACTTGGTTCTTGTATTGGGAGCCTGATGTGCACTTGAACTCTCACCTGGATGGCTTTTTGCATGGATGGAGTTCTGCATCTGTACTGATGGGCAGTGATGTGAAAGGTCTATCACAGCAGCACAGCAAGAGAGGCCTGTTCCATGTAAACTTATTAAAGGGTTTCATTACAGGGTGAATAAGGAAAGATGTACCAGGTGTGGCCTCACAAGCTGTCTATGTTAGGGCTCAGTGATTACCTTGTGCTTTAACTTACACTGTGCTAACATTCATGCTTACTTATTTTTCCAAGTAAATGCCATATCTTAACCATGGGAGTACTGCTGAAAATGTGCCTTTTAAAAATTAGATGTGATTTAAAGGATTTCAGAGTTTGATGTTTTAATATTAGCTTCTGTTAAGCTTCTCTTAAGATTCATTAGTTTTCTCCTGTATATAAGTAAAATGTTAAATACTTGAAAATATTTTTCTGTGCTTCTCATCCTTCTTCATTACTTTGAACTTGCCCTGGTATCTTTTTTCTTTCTCCTTTCTTTGGTTTACTCTCCTGGGTCTGTTTTTAGTTCAAAAGTTCTAACTTGGTTAATGGCACTTTTCCTTCTCCTGCTACTATAAGGATGAAGATGTATTTAGAGAGCTTAAAAACAATCTCAGCAGCTTGAAGCAACTTGCAGAGAACCTAC